AGGGTTCAGGGTTTGAGGTTTAAGATTGTGGCGTGTCATGGTCCGTAACAATGCTTATATAAGGGGGTTATCTAGGGATCGGTTAGGGGTTACATAAGGATTGTGGCCAATAGCAATGGTTATGTAGTGGGTATCTAGGGAGCATATAGGGGATACCTAAGGATTATGGTCCAGAATCATGGTTGTGTAAGATCATACAGGGGTTGTATGGGGATGATGGTCCTATATTGGACGTCTTTAGGTATCACTATTATATGAGCTATAGTCTACACTCTTAAAGGGGTTTATATAGGGGATTATATAGAGGACGAGGACTATTCTAGGGGTTATTAAGGGGGATACTAGGAGTTTAGACTCTGGCTCATATGGAGATTGTCACGGACATTTTACGCAGTGACATAGGGTCGATCCAGTCAAGATTTCTGACACCGCCAGTCCTCGAGCCCTCTTTGCCGGCATGGGTCCACAAACTGAGTTGCTGTTCAGGATTTTACTTTAAGTTACTATGTTGGGGAAAGCCTATTAATTACTACATATGCTCATTATATCCCATTAACAGCAACCAAAGGTTCAAAGAGCAACCTACTGCATCGATGAGTGATGCCTACCCCAACATCTAAAGAAAGCCATGCCCCATTGTCAGAGAACCGCTGCCTTCTTGCAATGTATCTATGCCAGACTCCCAGACGTTACGTGGGTTGACAATGATCCGGGAAGAGATTCATGTATAAAAGCTGCAGTACCACAAGCCTGCAGGCTCCAGAAGTCACTTCCTCTGCTGAGAGACAGGCCACTGGTGCTCTACCTCGTCCTTGCATTCTAGGGTGTAATCTCATTATCATTATGTGAGTCATGTGGGTGAATGCATGTATATGGTTTGCAGTCTTCGTACAGGGAGGCTTCTCTCTATGCTGATCATAACAACACATGACTTGATTGCAAGAGGTTGCAAGTGGAACTCTCTCATTTTTTTTCCGTTGCACTTTGGCTCCTAATCGATTTCTGAGTGTATCATTACAAGAAGGAGAGCATTGACCTACCTTGAGCACTACACTCCCCGGTTGCAAGCGTAGACCCTGAAAATGTAATGACAATGTAATGGCAGGGTGGATACCCTTTGCGACCAATCGTTCTGTGGAATGTACCTGTAGCAAGAGAATTTATGGGGAGCGACAGCCCTGAAAATCATGTCGCATCCGGTGCTGGGTAGCCTCTACGTTGGGACTGCTGGCTTCTCCAGCACGCACTGGGCCGGTCGTTTCTATCCAGGCAAGGAAAGATGTATTCGGCTTTTCAGAGTGGACTGTGACTGTTATCTGACTCACTCCGCCTTTGGCTTGAGTTGTGGACCATTTTCGAGGTCAACTGGCAACATGTTCTAGGATCTGCATTCCAGCTGAATGATGCATTTGGAAAGCAATCAGGTGAACAGAGCCTCAGTCAAACTGGCGATGGTTGGGCTCAGTCCTTCATCGAAACTCTGACCTGTAGGTCTACACGCAGCTATCAAGCTGTTAGCAGATGGCTAGCGCGACCACGAACACTTCTGTAGCCGTAGCCAGAAGAAACTGTGCTGCTGGTAAAGTTTGTGGACTGCAGCGGAAGATGGCTTTGATGATGTTCATTGCATGCAGGCAATGCGAAAAGGGGCGACGATCAGCTTGAACCTTGGCTTAAGTAATAGTAGTAATGGTTATAGTAATAGTAATAAGAGTAATGATAGTCAAAATAGTGATAGTAATGACTTATGTCGGCAAAGCTTCATGGCGCTGGAATCTCCCACAAAGTTGGTTGTGCACCTTTTGCAAAGGTTGCACCAACACGTGGTCATGGGTTCTCATAGGGTTGAGGGCTTAGGGCCTTATTTTGTGTGGACAGAATCCAGACACTTTCTGTTGCGGGGCACCTGGGAGATAACAAAGGAATGCTACCAGGAGAGTTTCTGGGCGGTGGAGGTCAATTCCAGCTTTTACGGTGCTTTGGCAAGCATGACGCAGTAGTCCTTGTGTTGGTAACTGTGGTATGAATTCCCATGTGATCAGACTCAGCTCATGTTTAAAGTCAGAGCTGCCATAGGGATTGAGGCGTGCGTTAAAGTTGCATTGGACAGAACTCCCCTTCTGCGACAACTTATGACTTATGTGACAACCGTGCATTCAGAGTTTGTTCTTCTGCTGGGGTATTGAAGCAGCGTCAAGGCATGTAATAGGCAATCTGCAGGATCAGATCAGTAATCTGCCGCACTCTTGACTTGTATTTGTTGAAGCAAGAACTGTACTGTGCTGTTTGTTCTTGGGATTTGCAGGCGTGCCTTCTGCAGAC